CCCGAACCTCATTACTAACTTGTATGAGTATTTTTACACATTATCTATTCCATTAACTTAGTTCCTGATACTGCAGAAGTTTATATGCCTAGAATTATACAGAGTGAATAATTCTATTAGAGTAAATTGGACTACTACAAATGTGTGAAGTGAAATGTGCATATGAGTCTTTGCAGGGCTGGGACTTTTAATGGTAATCTTGTTATGCATAAATATAATTGATATGTGAGGAGTCTTTTATGAATTAAGTCTCCCAACAGTCTCTCTCCACGTAGAGAAATAGAATAAGAAGATGAAAAGTCCGAAAAGGGTAGGCCTCAGCTTTTCAGAGACATATGCCTACATTTGCATGCATCCAATATAAGCAGATACGGATCTGTCTAAATTGAGCTCGAGGCATGCATTCTTTGAATTTTTTTCTACTCAAGTGACTTGGTGTAAGTGACTTGTTCAAAAACACTCTGTAGGTTTGTAGCACAGCCAGGAATAGAAGCCACATCTCCTGACTCACAGTTATAGACCAGACTTCTTAAATTTGTGTGAAAATTTAATTTGCCATGTTTCTATATGAGAGGGAATTCATTAATATTGTTGCTACCTTCCAGTGTTTCATAATTTTCTTGATATGATCCCATTCAATAAAGGTGCAGAACCGAATGTGGGCTTACCCTGTGTAGATGCAGAGCATCTGGTTTATACAAATGGTTTCCCACCAAAAAGGAAAACTTGGAACTGTAGATTTTTAATGCACAGATCTTGTGCTGTTGCAATGTTAAGAAGTCCTTGTTGTTATGAATGTGCATTATGAGTATATTGTACACAGTCCTGGTATGCAAATGTGTAGCATTCAGAGAAGTGAAATAATTCTGTGTTATTATTATCTTTGTAAATTGCATCTTAAGAGTTTGTTGAGGACTTTATGACGGCAGTTTTCTATAGTCACAGCCATACAGCACAAAGTGTTTCTTTCATTATTAACAATAACTGAGCCAATGAAAATGCTTTTAAATATACACCAGACAAGCAGTTATCCAGCTCTTCCTTCTTACCATCCACAAACCATCTTTTAGCATCTTATAAACGAGCATGTAAAATAGCTTTGTAAACATCTGCTTTTCATTGTTAATTGTCAGGGAAAACTAGAGATTTAAATGCTTCTTTTGTAGCATTCCTTAATCCTATCAGAAAGGATAGCTCTAGATGCTTCTCCTTTCTCACTGCAGATAGCCTCTCTAGGCTGTGTTTCTTCTTTTTTTTTCTTTCCTTTTTTTGGTTTTTTTTTTAATATTGATAGTTTTTTATTTACTTACAAACAGCTTGTTTCATGCCCCAGTTTGAAAGGTCTTACATATTCTAGTCTCTGTGGCAACTCAGTAAATTTAAACAAAATATACTATATAATTATTGATTACTGTGTAAAATGTGTTGAAAATCTACATTTTTTTTCTCATTAGGATCTGCTCAGTATTTTCTTTCATGTATAAACTATCGGATTAGGTATTGTAGCATATATATGTAGTAAGAAAACAAGAGTATATGTTCATACTGTCCTATGACAGCAAAAATAAAGAAATACATTTTATACTGCTACAATACAATTACTATTTTTTAAAAAACACTGCCTTTATTTTGGTTAGCTTTTCTGTTCTAATAATCAAGTCATTAATGTCAGTTGAGTGTGTCTGGCAATGATTTACTTAAGGTAGCATTCATAACACACAGTAGCTGCATTATACAGAAAAAATAAATCTATTCATCTTACATTTCCTACCTTTAAAGCTTTTTTTTATCTTGTATTATGGTCGTGGATTTGTAACATTTGACTTTTTGCTTCTTGCACACACAAAAGGAACATTCATGATTTAAAACTATTTCATGTTTTTTATTTCTTGAACAGGAATAAATCTTTTTTTACATATTTTTCCAAAGCTGCTTCATTGGAAAAAGATACTTCTTTTCAGTTAGAGTTTGAATGTTTCCATAGCTTTTGTCTTTTAATTTTGGTGGTTTTGAAGTCAAAGTCTGCTTAACCAGTTTCTCTAGCTTGGTTATAGTTTTAAAATAATTTAGAATTCTCCCTGTTTTGTTAATTAAATAATAATTGAAGAGTACTGTTGCCTATTCATATTTTTATTCCTGCTTTTCAATATTTACTTCTAGAACTTCTTAAAAGAATTGTTACACAGACCTCAGCATCACTGCATGTAAAATTAATTGAAATGACATATTGTTGCAGTTTCTATGACAACCATATCATGATGCTGATGCTCTCAAAAATTTATAAACTACAGTTTCAACTATGCTAATACCACTGAGTAGAGTTAACATTTATTTACTTAATATTCTTATTAGAACTAAGATTTCAATACTTCATTTAAAAAAAAATCAGTAAAAGGTGTATATCAGTGTTTTTCATTTGTTTGAGGTTGTTTTTTTTGTAAAAGAGTTCTAATTTTTATAAGAACATATTTAAAATCTAACTCTGCTATGTAATGTTACTGAAGAGCTTATTCACTCAAAGAAAAATTATATCATCAGTCACAAACTTTTAAAGATGACATTTGAAAATAACTCTTACAGTGTAATCCACTGCAGTTGATTTACAAATAGTCTTGTTTTGCTAGTGGAATATTTAAAGCCAATCTATTCCTATTTCTATTGTCCTAGATGCTAAACCTCAAATACTTGTGACATGAAAGTACTGATTCACTGGCATGACTTACGTAAATAAAGTCACAAGCATAAGTGTCTGCATGACCAGGCACAGAATTATAAACCACCTAAAAATATCTACTTATATTATTGCCTTATTTTATTGTAAATGTTAAAAAGCTTTGCCTGGTAACTTTTTTTTTTTTCATATTAAATACATACCTTAGTATAATCACATTATTCCATCAATCTGCAGGCTTTTAGAAGCAAGTTAGCTGATTTTAACAGTTTGACAGGGAACTCTATTACTCAGGCAACACTCACATTGGAATCAATGAATGTTTTACTTGAGTAAAAAATTTAGGACCAATGTAAGATGCCTTATTCAAGTTACTTCACAATTATATAGATCGCAGTGACTTAAAAAATAGTGAGTTTTGCTCTCAAAACATGGTTATTTAATTCGGTCTAACTTGCACTTACTGAAAAAGTATGGTTTATATTCAAAACCTGTGATTCTTGTGTATAAGACTTATTGATCATTGATTCAAATAGGAAATAAAACACCTTGATCTTTCAGTCATTTGTCTTAGGAAGATTCCAAAGCAGTCAGATCACATTTACTTTACTTCAGTCTTAAATTTGATATTATGTTGGAAAAACATTTCATATAATTGAATGTTCAAATATGTTGAGATCATGTCGCATTTTAGTTTTTAACAGTCTCAATACTTTCAGCAGTTTCTACCTGATGTTCCCAGTTTAGTAAGCTATATTTAAACATGTTTTGAAGGATTTATACAGTGATTTGCTTCTTAGTCAACTTTGTTGTAAGAAGTTACTATTGGGTATTTTGGTTAGAAAATGTATAGTGTTCTAAGAGGTGATCAAAGGGAGGAGACAGCCATACTAGCTGTTCAATATGCCATGATATTTATAAGCTCCAGGCAAAATGGGACAGTCTGGAACAACTTTGTATCCCCAAATTTCTTTGTAGACTTTTTCACCTTTTGTCTTGATATTTTCTAAACAGCTTATCCTTTCCATCATCATCATTTTGATCCTCTTAATAAGAAGCACGCACTTTACATGCACAGGACTTGAGCTTCTGGGTGAAATAATTGACAATGACATTAGCCTACAAGATTAGGCCATATTATCACAAATCCACAAGAACATCTTAAAACCAATGCAATTTATAAGTGCACGATGGTAGTAATATAAAATACAAAATCATTGGCCTGTCTCGAGGATTCCTTTTGTTTCTGTTCATGTGGCATATATATGTGGCTTAGTGGCAATGCATTTATTTGCAATGTGGGCCAATCCTCAGGTCGAAGACAGCTTTGTATATTTATTCTAGCCTTCAGGGTTTTTTTTGGTTTTTTTACATAATACCTTGTTCGTAGCACAACAGTTAGGTCAGGAACTTTAAAAATTGTGGGTTTGTTGCTGGGATTTTTTTGGGGGGGGGGTATGAAACAAAAATAAACTGATGGAATAAATACAGTGTTATAATATAAAGTCTATACATACTCTGTTGAATTCCAGCATGTGCTGTCAGAATGGGACATTGCCAGTGAAAAAAGAAAAGCACTGTGGTGTGCTGATAAACCCTTACAATAGTTCATAGAGGTTTGCAGTCATTCTGTTTAGCAAAGGTTTTTCTGTGGTTGACATTCTAGAGAAAAATATTCAGCAACCTTCATGTTTATATCACTGACCTGCAATTTACTCTGGGCTGTAATATAAAATAGGACTACTGCAGGCTGTAAGGGGGTCTTCTAGCATGTGTCCCCTCCCAGCTCCTCAAATGTGCGTGCGGGTATAGATATGCCAGTATATCTTCCCGTCCTTCCTCATTCACAAGACAAGCGCAGCTATTCCCAGCTAAAGCTGGGAATATCAGTATAATACACAAGGCCACACAGGTGTATGCTCAAGGAAGAGATGCCTTAGTATGACTGTGACGATTGCTGTAAGCGTCTCTTGCATGGCTTTGGGTTGCTTCTGAAAAAATACATTTAAAATCATTGTTAATCTTGAAGTGCTTTTTTATATGTTAACGGTGTTTTATGGTCATCCTATTACACAGAGATGGGAGTAGAAAAATGATTAAGATGACAAGTAGGCAAATCCAGCTGTTAGGTGAAATACTCAGAATAGGAGGAGCAGATGCGTTTCAGTGGAAATGTTTGCACAGTCACGCTACTGTTTTTCTTTTTTTACTCTATACCTGCAAAGTATCAGGCATCCAATCTTAATGTGATTTCTAATCACAGCTGAAAGTAATTGCCATTTTTTGGAGCTTGTTATTAGTGTTCTCATGATTCATTTGCAGAGCTTACTCTGCCAGTGCAACTTGTAGCCAAGAGTTTGGCGGCTTCAACTTTGCCGGTGCAGTTAGTGCTTTTCTGGGTGCCAGGATGCCCTGACGTGGTGAATGCTTTCTGGTGGCTGGCGGAGAGCATCAATCCCACCAGCTGCTAAAAATCCCAGGAGAGGACCCCTTCCTGATTTAAGGCTTTTCGTGGGAGTGGGGCTAAGACCTGCAGTGTATTGTGGTGCGTCGTGCCCCGAGGTAACAGGCTCTGTCTCCTAAAGCTGATCCATTCCTATAGCTTTCTTGCATGTGGAGCGTGCCTAAGAAACTCACTGTGCTGAGTCTTGCCCACAACTTTTAGTAGTGTCACCCCAGGTACTGTTCGTGGGTCATAACAGCCTCGTCTTCCCCCCCCCCCCCCTTCTTTTTCCTTTAAAAAAATAAATCGAGTGTAGATTATAAACTCTAAACCCAGCCCCTGACTTGAAAGCCCCTAGAAGACTTGAGGAGGAAAATGCTCCAGGAAAGCCCGGGCAGTGCAACTGGCCTGGTTTTGGCCGGGGAAGGTGGGCAGAGGAGGCAGAAGCACTCCCTGGCACACGCTCCAGGAGGAAGCTGCCTTCGAGCGGGGAGGTCGGAGGCGTTTTGCGGAGAGCGGTGGCGGCGGGAGGAGAGGGGCCGGGGTGCTCTTTCCTCGCCCCACCGAGTCCCTCCGTGGGAAGGAGTCGGGTGTGCTCGGCGCTGCTGGGAAAGGCGAAGGAAGATGAGGGTCTCGGGGCAGATGGTTAAGGAAAACACCGTTGCTGGGGTTCTGCTGCGTGCGTTCCCCTCTCCCTCGGTTCGCCCGAAGTTCTACCCTCTTTCCTCTCGGCCCCGAGAGCGAGCGAGCGGGAGCGTGGGTGTACTGGCCCCGGAGCCCGGCGGGGCGGAGGGGGCTGCCGGGCTGCGCTCCCGCGGCGGAGCCGCCGACCCCGCGCCCGCTGGCAGCGGGTCCTTCCGTGACTTTCGCGCTGCCGCTAACGCTGTTTGTTTTGCTTCGCGAAGTGCTAATCCGAGAGCTCCTTGGCAGGCGGTTGCTCTCGCTGCTTTATTTGTATTCGCCTCACGGTGGCGTTTTAAGCACATAAACAAAGCCCAAGCGAGCGGAGAGGCAAGCGTGTGTTCTAGTTTACCTTTATTAGAATAACAGTTCCGTTAATGTTTTGGATAAATCAAAACTGCCTATTAAAGCCGTTCAAGTGCGGGAGATGCGCGATGCTCTACGTCAGTGGAAGGTGTTTTAACCTTCCCGGCCGGCACAAAGCCCGCCCGAATTAGAGCGAGAGTCCGTGTCACCGAGCAGCACGGGCTCACCTGGGGTTGTCCCGTGTGTCCCGTCCCCCCCCTCGCCTTGTCTCTCTCCTCCCCCAGCCCCCCAGGAGAAGTTTACAAAGAACGCGACTGAAAGTGTAAAGCAGCAGATGCCGACGTTAAACTCCAGCTCGATTTGAGTATAACGATCTGAGCCCCAGCCCCGAGCCGCCGCCCTCATTAATACAGAAGCATGCCCCTGGGACCCGAGTTACCCGACGAGAATAAACACAATATAGAGTCATCTTACCTCCGAGCCGAGAGAGCAACGTTAGAGGTAGGAGAGGGGAAAGCGTGGCTCTCCTCCACCCCACCTCGGCCGGTCTGTCGCAGGGCTCCGGCAGAGCTGCCGCCGCCTGCCCAGCTGGGCTCCGCTCCCCAGCGTGCTCCCCCCGCCCCCCGGCAGGCAGTCCCCAAACTCAGCCCAGCACAAATCCAGAAGTCAGGGGCAGCGTTCTGAGTCAGTCCGTGCCGGTGCAAATCCCCCATGGCTTCTCTCCGCCAGAGCGTGGAACAAAACTGCCGGTTACCCTGAGTTTTTCTCAGGCTTTATAGGCAATCTAGGAGCAGGTAAGGCGGCTGCTGGCTGCCAGCGATTCCCGTTGCACTTGCAGAGAGCAGCAGAAGCCGGTGGAAGTGGGAGTGTGGTCTGCTCTTCATTAGGGAGGGGGGAACGGACCCTGGAGGTGATGCAGTGAAACACTTCTACTTCCTTGCATTGTGTTTGTTACAGATCACGGGCGCTCTCCTTTTATAACATTCACTTTAAGCATTCTCAAACCCAACCGGACTAAGTTCCGATCCTCCCCTTCGGTTTACATTGGGGTTGTCAAAGGATTAAATAAATGAAACTTTATTTGACCGTGGAGTTTACAGACCTTGGGATCCCTGCGCGCTCTGGCCTTATTCTAATTCTATAGCGGTAATTACCCTTCGTTTCTTTAAGTGCAATAGATTTATTGCCTTAGAGACTATGCACAGTTTGATTGAATTATTCATTTTTTTCTTTGGTGTAGACTGCATCTGGGGACTGATGTGACGTGTAGATTTTTTTTTTCAGGAACAAAGGGAATGTGGAAATGAAAGAGAGAGGGAGAGAGAGGCTGGCAGATGTGATGAGATGCGGTGAAGGTGTATCCAGCTTGGCACTCCCACTCCTCTCTTCTCCTCTCATTGCAGCCCTGGGTGACTCTCAGGCTAACACAAACAGCTTTTCTTCCGCAGCCTGCCCTCTGTCACTGTAAGTACAACAGCCTTCTCTTATCAGCATGCAAATTCCAGCCACTCACTACCTTAGCCTGGTGTTTGCACTTTAGATTTACAGAGGGGACCTTTAAAATGAACTTCCCGAGACAGGAAGGGGGTTTCATGTCAAACTTGCTTTTATTTTCTTTGTAAAAGTTTATGTGGTTTTTCCAGTTCTACCCCCCCCCCTTTTTTTTTTTTTTTTGAAACGGGGGGGTGGAGTGGAGAGATTGTTGCTGCGGCTTTTTGCTTCACTATCAAGCTGATGCACAGTTTCAAATGAAATTAAAATCTCCTTGGTCCTCTTTCCGCCAGGACAATACATTGTGTTGGCAGATGACGCTGTAAGGAATTCAGAGTTTTTGTTTTCAGTCAGATCTTTATCCTTGGGCGTTATAGAATGCAAACGTCCCCTAAATTTTGAGGAGATTGCCAGAGGTTCTTGTTCTAGGGGAACTCGTATCAGCTGATGGGTTTGCTTATGAAGAAACGTGCAGTAATGTGCTTCTATCTAGTCTAACAAAACTTTCTCCCAATCGGATGATCAGGCTTTAACTTCTTTTCCTTTAGCCTTCTCTCAGATGCTGTTGATTATTTTGCAAAAGTTTCTCTGAACATCTTTAACAAGCCTATAAAAAGTCTTCATTGTCGGAGAGTGTCAGCAGAGGGAACTTATAAATATGCCGGTTAATTGTCCGGCATTAGTTGGGGAGAGAGGAGAGTTTAGAACTCGGTGAATGACTTTTAAGGTGGAATTTCTTGCCCTTTGAATCAAAACTTCTGAAACTGTTCCACCAACTCTACAGGAGTTGTAGGTTTGCTCATCACGTTAAAGATGCGGTATGTAAAACTTAGCACGCAGACAGGTCGCTTCGCTTGTTGAATATTGCTTTACTTTAACGTATTTAATGAGAGAGACGGTGCAAAATGCAATGACAACTGTGAACAGGTAAGTGCCCCGACGTGAACTGAGCGCCTCCGATCCCTTCCCTCTGCCAGGACCCACAGCAGTTCAGCATCCCTCCTCAACATCTGCTTGCGCTGACTTCTCTGGCTGGTTTTAGCCTTAATGAAGCAAAAGCAAGGGAAGTGATTTAAAACACCGTCTCTAAACGTGTGGTAACGCTAAAAGTAAAAGCGTTTTCTTGTTTCTCGGCACGTGTGTACGTATCCACACGGCGGGTGTTCACTTATGCAAACAAAGAGGGAACCACAATTATTCCTGTGCAGCGCACATACGCGCACATTTGCATACAATGCCCAAGGAGTCCTGTTTTTCTCCCGCGGAGAAGTTGTAGCTCTCTGGCGCTGTGTGTTACATCTGTAACTTAATTGATCACACAGGGGAAGCAACAAGCTAGAGAGTATTCCTTGCGCTCCGCCTGGGAATGTGGACCCATCTCTGCCGTGTCCTGCCCTAGCCGAGTGTCATTCTCTGCATAGGATTTTCGGGAGTGCAGCGAGATGCTCCCCCGATTTGGAGCTAGGTGGGCGGTTAGATTTATCTGATGCCTTAATTATCTCTTGTCCCATTACCGCCTCGTACTTAAAGAGGAGGACGCTACATTTGAGGAGTGGGGTTGGGTTGTTTTTTTTTTCTCCCCTGTTTGTTTCTTGAAAGAAAAAAAACTTCCAGTAACAAATTGCTGGGGTTGCAAACTCGGGCAGGATAGTTCGTCCTTGTGTTCTGATTACATCTCTTTTCTTGCAGAGTTCATTTTTTTGCGTGCCAAAGGTACTAGTTATGCAAAAAAGTCAAGGTGTTTCCTTTACTTGCAGCAGGTTTAAATGTGTTACAAGGAAAGTGTTAATGACCAATCACGGGAATTCTTATAATTAAAGATTAAAAAGGACAGAGCAATATCTGGAAAGGCAGCTATTTCCTGTTGTTAAATCCATAGCCCAGATAACTGCAGCAAGGTGAATACTTTGAATTAGCTGAACGCAGGTGAATACAAACTCGGTATTTACAATCTTACAATCTACCCCGTCTCCGAATGTCGGTTTTTTAGTATCTTTTATTAAAATTGAAAGAATGCATGGAAATTAGCTACTATGTCCTCAGCCAGCTAATTGGGTGCTAAAGCTTTGCTAGATAATTTTCAAGTTCTGTTTCAAGGTGTTTGCTGCTTGCTGAATAGGACTTGATTGCTCCTTTTATTGTAGTGGAATTGCCAAAAATACTGTATAAAACAGGTCCGCTATTCCAAGAGGTTCTGACTTAAAACTCCTTTTCCCTGGACTCGACTCGAGACGGACGATAGTACCTCGGATAGCAAGGTAGAGGATGCAATGTGCACGACTCCAGTAGTGTGTTGAGTTTTACAGCTTGTTAACAAAATGAAATAGAGCCAGATCAGATCAGTCCTGTGCCATCACGTTAATGCTCAATTTTCATCACGTCCTTATGTAGCAAGGTTCATTCGCAGTGGGGCAGAGTATGCTTCTGGGTCTAACCTATTCCGCAAATTTCTACTTGAGAGAGGAGGGAAGCGAAATCAGGCTTTCTCCTCGTCTTTTTGGCCTCTATAAGTTATGAAGCTATTTTAAAAT